CCCCAAAACCCCAAAACCCCAAAACCCCAAAACCCCATCTGATATTGATATACTTGAAATTAGTGATAATTCTTCACATTTTGAGTACTAGATTGCCTATTTTTAATCGGAAACTTACAAGCACGAATAGAGCATTGACGAATGCACTGCAAGAATAGTCAAGTATTCGTCAAACATCTTAGTGTCTTGTGAAAATATGTATGATGGTATCCAATACAAAGTATCTATAAAATAGATCAGTATAGATTTTATCAGCAATGGAACGAATCCTTCTTTGAGTTAAAAATTATCTACTCGTTACATAAATAATAATGCTCCTTTCTCTTGAAACGAAGCAGCTAGCAAATAACTGTCAGAAATTTTGCAAAATTTTCTTGTTTATTGAAATTAAGATGATTGAGATTAGTAAAAGATCCCATATTTTTTGAAAGATTTGTTAAGCTAAAAATAGTGTCAAGTAAAACTTTTCAGTTTCCTCCTTGAAACTGAATGTCCTATTTCTTGGTTTTAGATCATTAAATAATAAGAGCACAGTTCAGAACTGAACTGAAATTATACTTTGTCCCTTCTAATTTTATCAACAAAGATAGGCTCTTTTTAAAATTTAGGCACATCAAATTTCTTTGAACTTACTTAAACTATATTCTATTAGGCCTGGTTGTCCATTACTGCTTCTAGAAGATGAGAAGCTTTCTCTATCGGTATGATTTCCTGCAAGTGCGATAGCCAACAAGTTAGCTAGACAAGCAATGACACAAATAAACATTGATGTCCTATATCATCTGCATAGGATAAAGCTTGCTGTAAGGATACTCATTGCTGCTGGTAATAGGATTAATACTCTAAAATAATCAGTTATCTCTGAATATATCTGAAATTTGTGGGAAAGAACAGACTTACTTCCTTACTATTTCAGTTGTATATTGGGAGGAATCATCGTTAACACATTGCTGAGAATCAGTAGAGTCTGTGTTACACAATGGTTGATCTAGAGTATGAGTTAATTAAGAGGATTGATACAAATACTTTGCGATTGTTAACTTCTATTAAAATGCCCATATACTCTCATATCACAAGGATCACTAACCAAAGACTCTCGTAAACCTCAAATCCTCCATCATAGCCCTCCAAAGTCAACCCACCAATCCCCTCTGCTCACTAGCCTATCTCTAATCCCTCCACCCCTATTACAGCCTCGCTCATTCGGACAATATCAAAGTCAAAGGGTCTACTTTAATATAAATTTTTCTGCACTATTTAACTGCAATAATTTATCATGAGTTATTATAATTTTGGGGGGAAATCTCAGACATTTACCTTTCAGATACTCATTACAAGCCACGTTGTAAATAGTTAGGAAGATTACACACACTGATATTATTTTAGGGTATATATCTTCAGTCACTCCCAAGACCAAGTTTGGCATTTTTCTTAATTTTATTTATTTTTATAAATCTTGTGTGAATTTTGGGGTTTTGGGGTTTTGGGGTTTTGGGGTTTTGGGG